GCTGATGTCTGTCGATTTACCTTCAATCTAAAAGGCGTATATATATATATACGTGTTGCGAACCATTTCGACAAAAAGTTCGCCATCAAGGCCCGCGCGTTTATTCGCTCACCGAGTGATCGGGCGAACACGCGAGAATTCAGAGAAAGAGAGAGATAGAAAGGGTTAAGCTTCAAAGTCGCGTAAATAATAACGCGCACTTTTAACAATACATTTCAAAAGACACGTTCGTAAAAAAAATTCTCTCATTGGTTTAAAAAGAGAAGAGTAATAAGAAACTGACCGTGCAAAAATTGAAATGGGGTCCTAATGGGGACCACACCAGTTTTCCCTATCCTAGTTGCCCTACTTAGGTAAAACCCTTGTAATTTTATTATTAATAACTTTTTTACAAACGGTAATCTTAAAAAGTTATTTTATTTAAATTTTCTTAAAAAGGGAAAACTATCGAGTGCCTGATTGAAGCCTTATTTTAAATATATAAATAAACAAATATATAAAATATAAATATAATTTAAGTTTCAGTACACTGAAAAAATTTCATTTATATAATCCCGTGTAGAATTTGCCCTATCAGAGCCCTAGTAGGGAATGAAACGCCACACCTGATCAAATGTGGATTTCCTAAACAGGGCCACATCAGGCGTTTCATTCCCTATTATGGCAGCCTGATCCAGCCCCGATTTCGGCCCTGACAAAATTTCTACACGGGTAGTATCAAATAAATATTTGTTTATATCAAACAATTATTATTTCAGTCAATTAAATGTTGTTTCGTACATTTTTCTAAACATAATTCGATTGTGTAAATAAAAAAATTCTTTTTTAAAATTATAAGAAAATAATTAATAATGTATAAATAATACTTGAACAAAGTATATTGTATTTCTTTTGATTTACTATAATCCTCTTAAATGGAGAGGAAAACTTGGTAAAATTGCTTTTAATAAGACAAGTATGCGAATAAAAGATAAATGATAAAGTATAGATAATTATTTTTGTCATCTGACGTTAAATAGAGGGATAAATTGACTTTAAGTGATTATTATTTAATGAAACATTGTCAATTAATTTATTGATAATGGTAAAACATTCAGTGATAAAATTGTATCGTGTAAAATGAATAGAGGTGAAAATAATCACGTTTGAAATTTCAACAGACATAATTAAAGAGGTAGACGGCTTAATTGGACGATTAGGTTTCGCGTGTTGAAAAGTTGTCGATCTCAAGGCTGATAACGAACCTTTCCCTCATTAGTCATTTTGTGACTAATTCGATTATTTCTCCTTGTTTTTCGTCTTTAACCGCGCAAACGAAAAGAAAAAAAAATTAAACACGCTTTAATAATTTTTAATTACTTTCTATAAAGACAAAGAAATTTTTTTTCTTAAAACAATAAAAAATTTCTTTGAAGATAATTATTTTTACTTTTTTTCTTAGATATTGTTTTTTTTTTTTTTAATATAAATGGGGTATATATAGAATAGAAAAGTAATAAAATTGAAGTAAAGAGCATTTGCGATTGAAATTCTTGACCACGTGTTGGGAAGTTTTGGTTTGGTGGATGTACTTAAGCCTCATAATGGTTGAGCGGAAAGGGGTCGCAAATACGTGCTTTACAAGTGCTCATTGTGGTCCAAGGGGGGGGTCGCGTTTGCATCACACATGGCGCGATCAAACTCCCCTTTAACGCCGGCTGCACGAAATGTCTATTCCGACGAGTAGAGTAGGCTGCCTGATATCAACGGGCGTTAAAGGATGGGATCGTCGAATAGAGCAACTTTGTTTTAAATGGGAATGGAATCAGGGAACGAAATCACGACAAGCGCTAAATTCTAACATAACTTAACGACTAATCGATGTAACGAGAACATTTAAAAAAAAAACTAAAAAGTTACAGAAACTTTTTTTCTATTCGCTCCAATCTCGTTATTATCTTCAATATTTCAAAACTATTTTCATCATTCTCCTATAAATGCTTTTTTCCTTTAAAAACAAGAATTTTCTTTACTATTGAAACATAAATTCAAAGTTATGTACACTGAAAAAAAATTTATTTGATTCAAATAATTGGTTACTTGATTATTATCAAATATAAATATTTATTTGTATCAAATACCCGCGTGTAGAAATTGCCCTACCAGGGCCCCAGTAGGAAATGAAACGCCAAATCAGGGCGACCAGAAAATGTGGATTTGCTAATCAGGCGCGGCGTTTCATTCCCTAATAGGGCTGCCTGATTATGACCCGATCTGGGCCCTGGCAAAATTTCTGCATGGGATAATTATTATTTGAGTCAATTAAATCGTATTTCGTACATTTTTCTAAACATAATTCGATTGTATAAATAAAAAAATTCTTTTTTTAATTAAAATTATAAGAGAATAATAATGGAGAAAAGTATATTATAAAAAATGACCCTTCTTTTACTTACTTGCGTCTTTTCTGTGCTCAATTTTAGTCTATTTCTCATTTTCACAATGGAATTTTTCTTTTCGTGAGTTTTTCCACTTCAACTGCGTATATTTTTGCCCAACCACATTTCGATATATATATATATATATATATGGAGAGAGAGGAAGACATTAGTGGTGTTTGACCGAAGCTCATAGAGATGTCCAGCAGCCCAATTACTCCCGCATTAAATCAATGTTCTATGACCCGGGTCGGTAATAAACCGTGGTCTCGACATATCTTCACGCCCGCGACTCATTCCCCACTTGTTTCTTGGCCCCCCCTTCTAAACGCAAAATGAAAATGCTCCCGGAATGCTCGTCTCTGTCGTAATATTTGGCTTTAAATCATGCTTCGTTGACAGGACATAGTCCTTTTTGCACGTACAAGAATTCACGTTCCCTCGATCCCTTTTGGAAACGAGCCCTATATCAATTATATTTATATCATTCACAAATTATAATCATTATTGTGAGTTTTAATTCATTTTTTTTGTTTATTTTTGCACCAAAAAAATGTTTTCTATTTTAAGTGTAAAAAAAAATTTATTCCAAAATTAAGAATAATATTTACTTATTTAAAAATTACTTTACTTGTTTCTATGTAACAGCGATATATTTCTCTAGAATAGCGAAAACTTTCCCTATTTTAGTGAAACATATCGCTGATCTATAGGTGTAGATTTTTTTGCGTGTTTTAAATATATTCCTATCCCGTGCAGAAATTTGAGTTAGATTTTAATAGGGACCTAAAAATTAATAAATATTTAATAAATCCAAAAAACATATTTATATAAAGATCCAACGTCCTTTCTTCCGTGTGTGTTTTTGAAATTGTAGAGTTAAAAACGCCCGTTATGCTATTTATTATAGACGTGAAGTTTAATTGAACTTCCTAACCTCCAAACAGTACTAACACAAATTTTAACCAGAATTATAAATAAAAAAGTTAGAAATCATAATATTACCTGAAGAAATTGGAATAATCATAGTAAAAATTAAAAATTTGCAATAATGATATTAACATAAAGACAAAATTTGAGGTTAGAAAACCAATCAATATATTTTTTACTTTTAATATTCTAAATACATATTTCATGTTTGTTGGCTTAATATTAAATATTCTTATATTGATAATATTATGTTAATATTTACCTTCTGATAAAGAAGATGAGTGATTATTTTCCATTATTAATTAACAAAAGAACAATAAAATTCAGGTTCACACAAAATGACATGTGCATTTGCACCATTCATGTCATCATTCTCGATGATGGAACATCGATATATTGAAAACTTCGATACATGGATTTCGATATTTTCGATTTAAATTTAAATATTATTTTTAAATTAAATAAAAAGTGAAACTATATATAATAATGTAATTTATTAATAATATTATTTTGATTCTATCACTCGGTGTTAATTAATAATAAATTTAATTTATTTAATAATTTTATTATTATAATTTATTATTATTAATATTTATTCTTTTTATTATTATTTCTAAAACGAACATTTTAAAAATATTTGTGTCCCTTATTGTACATAATTAAATTCATATTTTAAATAAAGAAAACATCGTAAAATAATCTAAGTCCAATTCGAGGTATTTCTGGCTAGAATTTAGTAAGGGCTTAATCAGATTTTTCTAGTTTGAATTGCCTTTCTAGAATTCAAGCGGGATCTCAGCAGATATTTCTAGTCTGAATTTCTCACAAGAATCTAATCAGGTTCGAGTACGACTTTTCTAGGCTAGATTTTCTAGCGTGGTTCTAGTCGGAATCCATTATCACATTGGGAAGCTTAGGGACATTTCTACACGGGATGTAGAGTATATATTATTTAAATAATGTACTCTTATTTTAAGAATACCATATAATACTGAATCTGATAATAAATGACATTTAAATATTTTAAAAATTGAAGAAAACTAATTCACATATAAATATATATATATACATGAAGTATGTCAAACTTGGTAGGAAAAAAAGGCGAATTTTTCTGCTTTCATATATATATATATATATATATATAAACCGAAGCCACAAGATTAACTTCAAAAAAGCAATTTACGACGGAGATCTCATTCATAGCTAAGCTTTTATATAAAAGCTTTTTGCTGTAAGCTGCGACACGGGCTTTGGTTAAGGGTACACTTTTCTGAGAGGGGCCAGTGCGACTTTTGTCAACCGCAACGAATTAGCAATACGTATTTTTTACGTGTGTCTCAAAAATATCTATCTTTTTAGTGAGGAAGGAGAGGGGAGGGTGCTATATTATACTTTCAAACCCGATTTATCGAATCATATTATTGCGATTCTAAGTTTCATCGCAGTTTCGCTAAGGGGATGACAAAAAAAAATTATAATCTATATTTTCCGGGAAAAAACATTTTCTAATAAAATTCGTTAAAATAAATATTTTTTTTTTTGAAAACTTTCTAAGTTTTCTAATTTTTTAGAATTTTAATTAATTAATTTTTTTTTCGAATTTTTTTAAACTTTTAATCTGTTTCCAAAAATTGAAATTTTTTTTTGTTGCAGGTATCGAGATGACGCTTTATGCTGGACAGACCGGTAAGCACTTTTTTTTTTAAATTTAACTTAAAAAATAAATAAATATTTATTTGAACCAATAATTTATTTAAAACAAATACAATTTAATTGACTTAAATAATAATTATTCAATACAAATAAATATTTATTTGATACTACTAAAGTAATTAATTATTTGAATGAAATAAATTTTATTTTCAGTGTAATATTACGTTGTAATATTACGTTGTAATATTACTAGAACATTACTGAAATATTCTAATATTACAGAAACATTACTATGATATTACAGGAATATTAAAATGTCCGTTTCAAGGTAATATTGCATGTAATATTGAGATAATATTACACGTAATATTGGTTAAATATTACAATGTAATATTGGTTAAATATTACAATGTAATATTGAGAGTCATTTTGTTTTGAAGAAAAAAACCACGCTAGTGGGGAATCGAACCCCGAACCTAATGCACACAAGTCGGAAGTCTTAACCAACAAACCAATTTGACTTGAAGTAATTTTTTTCTAAACTAGAATAATTGTAAACCATTTAATTCACTCTAATAATTATTTGATACAAATAAATATTTATTTAATAATTGTTAACTAACCGATTATTTGAATAAATTAAATTTTATATAATTAATGTAATATTTCGGTAATATTACATTAATATTAAAAGGTTCGCCTCATGGTAAAATTATAGTACTCTCTAAATCTGAATTAGTAAAAAAGTTTACTAATTTGAATTAGTGACTTACTTTTTGCTTTTCAATTAGTAAAATTTTACTAATTATTAGTAACTTTTACTAACAATTAGTAAAATTTAACTAATTCTAAAGCAAAAAGTGAGTCACTAATTTAAATTAATGAACATTTTTACTAATTCAGATTTAGAGAATAATATTAAATTGTCGGCCTCATGGTAACATTACAGTAAAATTACAGTAATATTGCTGGAATATTACAGTAGAATTAGAATAATATTTTGTAATATTTCGTGCTACTTGTGATGTTTAGAAAATAATAAACACTATTCAGAGATAGAGAGAAAAAGAGAGATTCTAAAATCACTTAAAAATGAAATTCGAAATAATCGACACTCATCTGTCAAAATTGAAATGATGTATTTTGATTTAAGAAAGATATATAATTTTCGTGAAATAAAAATAGACCTCTGGATAATCATAAGGTAAAAGGCTCATTATAGATTCAATCTTGCAAGTTGCTTCAATTATGCGCAGTATCTGCGTTGGGTGTCTATAACCGTGTTTGAGAGAGAGAGAAAGAAAGATGAGTTGCACAAGCGCGCGAGTGCCTCTAATGGATCATGCTCTCAGCAAACCTAATAATCGCTTGCCATAGATCAGTCGCGGATCGTGGAGAAAGAGAGAGAGAGAGAACGACTGCAGGTGGGAGGTGGGTTAAATAGCGAGGTGAAGATGAGAAAGAAAAACGGTACTTAACCAATGTAGTTTAATAATCGCTAGTCAAAAAAAAAAAAAAAAGAGAGAAAAAAAATATGAGGGATGAGACCAGAGAAGGGAAGTCACTAATAATTATTATTCCCGTCAAGTTTGATCGATGATACTCCTTAAATGCGCACAATATTGACGTCACTTGTCAAAAATCATTAAAATCGTTTAGTTTCAATTTTTTTTTCTTCTCTCTGATTTATTTCAATCATTAGAGCAGTGTTTCAGTTTTATTTATTTATAAATTTGCATTTTACATTAAAAAAAAAATTTTTTTTTCATTCCATCGTTTAAAAAAGGGGGCGCAAAAAAGTGCCCTAACGAGAGAGAAAGAAAGAGAAACAAACTGGGGGTATAAAAGACCCCCACGGACGAAGAAGAACCAAGAGAGGTGATTGATAGAGGGAGATTGACGTCGCGATGCAATTCCATTGTTCAAAGTGAGTACCAAAGTCAGAGAGCTCAACAAAAGCAATGAGCAAACTCCGCACAAGATGTATGAAGCTTCTACTCTTCCACTGACTGTATAAATATATGACTTATAACGCCTACCTTTACCTCACTGTCAAGAGCAACAAACAAAAAACCACAATTATCTTGAGACAAAAATGAAAAAAGATTTTCGGAACATCTGCAGCAAAAAAAAGTTCTGCATAGAACAAAACGAAGGTTTTGTTAGCTAATCCCAATATGGATGACAATTATTATTACAGCTAATAATTTACTGTCATATGTTTTACTGTGCCAGATAATTATTAGCTAATATATAAAAATAAGCTAATAGCAATCCCATTTTTCTCGGTTTAAACAAATCTAAAATTTTTACAGATTCTACCAAAAAAACAATAATCGTATTTAATTTTAATCAACAGCAAGTTTTGTTGATTTGTTATGAATGAAAAGGCAATTTTGAAAATCGGCAATATTGCAATGTGGCCTCATCGTCCAACAAGGGAAAAAGGATGTGAGGGAGAACTGGACAGACAAGATCAATTACGGAACGGCGCATGCATCAGATCGGCAAAGTTGAATTCGCGAGATCGAGAAAAGCATCAAACGAAAACGAAAGGTAGACAGAGAAAGAGAGAGAGAGAATAAAGGGCGGACTGTTTCAGCTGAACTGTTGCGAAAAGTAAAGGTGAATCAACCGCGCGACAACAATACCCACACAGTAGTATAGTGTATAGTAACGACATCCAGTTAAATCTGCTGGCCAGCAAAAAAATACGGTAACGCAGTTTAAGGGCTTCAAGAAGGCATCGCTCTTTCAACTTTTCTTTTATCTCAACAATTCTTGACTAACAGTGATCTACGCATCATCATTCAATTTTAATTCTTCTCTTTAAGTTCGCAGTTCGACCCAAAAAGAATCGTCGTCAAGGAATTTCATCCTTTCTTGGATGAGAAAGAAAAGGAATCCTTCTCGAGGGGATTTTCTTTAGAGTTCTTTTGTACGTATTTGCTGATTCATTCGCGGATAATAATCTTTGTTATTAATCGATAACTAGTTATAATCATAACTATAGATAACTAGTTTCTTATGTTTTGTAAATTTTTATTAGAAATTTTAATTCTAATTGTACGAAATTTTGTGCGCAATTAAAATCAAAATTTTTGCTTGCTACAAAAATTGTATACAATTTACAAACGGAGTAAATCGTAGGCAAATTTTGAACGCAATGAGAATCAAAATTTGTACATGCTAAAAAATTTTAATTCTCATTGCGTACAAAATTGGCCAACGGTTTACTCCGTTTGTAAAATGTATACAATTTTTGTAGCATGCACAAATTTTGATTCTAATTCCGTACGAAATTTGCAAATTGTTTACTACGTTTGTAATCTGTACAAAATTTTTGTAGCATGCACAAAAGATTCTAATTGTACGAAATCGTTTAATCCGTTTGCATAAATTGTACAAAATTTTTGTAGCATGCACAAAAGATTCTAATTGTACGAAATCGTTTAATCCGTTTGCATAAATTGTACAAAATTTTTGTAGCATGCACAAAAGATTCTAATTGTACGAAATCGTTTAATCCGTTTGCATAAATTGTACAAAATTTTTGTAGCATACACCAATTTTGATTCTAATTGAACAAAATTTGCAAATAGTTCACACTACCCTTTGTAATACATATTTAAGATGCGGTACAATATTTTATCATTTGATTACATCAAAACTAAATTTCAACGGAATCATATTTAGATATCCAATTATCAATTTTTTCAAACTAATCTTATTTTTCCATTGTTGGAATTTTTAAATAAAAGCAACACTAATTCTTTTCATTAATTGTCAATATTAATTACTTGAAAATAGATATAAAACACTTTATATAGTATAAAAAAGTAAACGAAATTTACGATGTTAAAAAAATCATCATCTGTAGCAATGATCCAAATGTAAAGATGCGCGGCATCTGCGCTTATCTAAACTGAAGATCAGAAAATATGTTCGGCAATGTAACCCTGGAGGTTGTTGCATACAAGAGCCGCAAAGGATCGATATATATATATTCGATCGATATAAGTGCTGATCAATCAAGAGAGGAGCATTTAATCGATGCCTTTATAATTATTAACCCGCGCTTCCAAACGCAAAGTTGATGTGAAGGGCTAACCCCAATTTACAGGTACTAAAAATTGTGGCAAAACTTTTTTTTTCATAATTAACTCCTGGCCTTTTTAAATGATGTTATCGAGAGTAAAAAATAGAGAGAAAATATATGATAAGATATGATGTAAAAAAAAATCTAGCGTACAAAATTTCGCTTTATTAATTAGTATTTATTACTCCATTTGTGGAGAAAAATTGGTAAATTATTTTTTAGACCTTCAAAACAAAAAAAAAAGGATTTTATATTATGGTGCGTGAAATTTTGAGTTATGAGAAATTGAACTGCAAGTATATACTGATAACGTAGCACTGTTATTAATTAAACCGAAGAGGTTTGGCTGCTTGCAATTAGCATTCGATCTCGGCTATAGTTAATTGATGTGAACGCGTCTCTTGACTCACAATCGCTATATACCATTAATTATTATTCTCGATCAATTAGCAATTTTTCCTCACGACATCAAGTTTGAAAAAAAGAGCAGGGGGGTGGGGAGGTTTTGATTTTACAATAGTCAATTTTTTTTTTATTAGGTAACAATTAGTAAACCTGGTTATTTTCGGTACTCTCTAAATCTGAATTAATTAAAAATGACTAATTTTTAACTTCCTTGTACAATTCTCAAAAAAAAAAATTCCTTAGACTCAAAATTATTGGTATTTTTTCGAACCGTAAAAAAATGATTTTGAGACAAAGTTAAGATTCACTTCCGTGGATCGCTTATCGATTCAAATCGCGTACAAGTTGAGTATGAATGGTTGTGAGTCGGGGAAGCCCCCACGGGCAATCACGAGCGAGTCAACGATGCCTGCTTGCTACCACTCTGCCGACGACCTAGATCGCGAATACCCATTCCAATCGTGCGGACGACGAAATCCCTGTCCCGTCGGCACGCGCTGCAACGTCGAATCCGATAATCACCTCACTT